AATCCTACGATAGTTTTCGTTAAGAATGAGGCATGGTTGAAATAGTAAGAGTGCCCACTATACTCAGTAGTGACCCTCAAAACTCCAATTGACTATAATATCGAAATATGAAACCCAAAGGCAACTGACTGAACTATTTCAAATAGAAGGTACTATTGTTTATCCATGAAAGGTGCATCCATTATAGGTGTGGTACTGAAAGGTAATCATCAAATAATAACTGAGGCTAAATTTCCAGGTTGTCTCAGTGACTAGTAAATTTGGACGTCACATTCAAGAAGTTTTACTTGGAAATTTCGTATCATGGCGCAAAGCTAACACTTAGTAGGAACTCTTACACCAAAAAATTATTGGTTGAACCATAATGAGTCTTGAATTTGAATTCTGGATATTGATTGATTGTCGAGTTTGTATGATTAACACTCACATGATTGTGTTATGCTTTGTGGAGTGTTGTACACCGTGCTAGTCAAGTGGGATTTGTGATCTACCTGCTTTCGGCGGCAGTTAACATTTTGACAAAAGCACGAAACTGCATCTTACTTTCCCGAGATCAGGAGATTTTATCCAGAAGTCTTCGTCTCCGCGGCGACTGACTGACGTCTAAACTCTGAGATGAAGTACAGTGTCTCACACTGTCTTTTCATATCATTTGTTAACCATATTGCAAACTTGACTGGTATATTTTGAAAAGTATATAGGGATTCAGTTGCACTTTACTCACTCCTATGTGTCTGCTTCATCTATTGCTATGAGATTTCGGCCATGTGTGATTTTGGTGTTTAAGCAAGTTTAATTCGCCATGGACAGATGATTTTTCTCAAACTTGTAGGCATACCCTGATGGTCAGTGTAGACAATAAGAACACGTACTTAAAGCACGCTTTTCTTTTGGCGGACTCTTAAACGCTAGAGTTTCTCATAAGCCAGGTAATGTTACACACAGTATTGATTTTTGCACTAAGTTACTTTTAAATAAATTTCTTATCCCATTCAAGTGTTGATATTTACAATGCTTGAAAATTATACTTAAAGCTTGTTCGTCAGTAAGTTATCCCTTTATTGGTTGATAACCCCTGTCTAATGACTAACTGTCAGTTGTAAAGTATATATCTAACAGGTTTCAAAAGCAACACGAAAAATTCAGTTTCTGTCATTTGAAAGCATGCGTGTGATTAAGAAGTTGCTTCATATACCTACAGTTATTCTTTACAATTAAGCACGAATTTGGCCTATTCAGATAAACTGTCTTCAAAAGTGATGATTGAATCCATGTAATTATTTAAGTAGTTAGGTGATTTGAACCGGAATTTTTATTATTTTCACAGCCGTCCGGCGTAAAACATGAAGTAATTTAATGAACTAAGCTAGCAAATCAATAGGGGATAAGTACGTGAAGTTCCGTCAAAATCTTATCCATTCATCTAGATTAACTGTTCACCTTAACTACCAATTCGCGGATGAAATGCTGATATCTGTCTAAATGTTTCGAATGTCAAATTTTCACTCAATGTCCCAATTTCTGAAACCATGCGGTCAAATCTTTGCCAGAATTCATATAAATGAACTACTAGTTGTTTTCACTGATTAAACGTATTTTACTTTCATCGATGAAAGCTGCACGATTAAACAACCCAGCTCAGAGAACACAGTACAGCCAAGAACATCCAGCTGAGCTACAAATATTCACCACTAATTTCAGATTTTATATACCTCATTTTAAATTCTAGCTAGTTAAGAGATTGTAAATTTGACGAAGTGAATTGGGTCAGATTTTAGAAAAAGCTACTATACTACTGACTAATTTGAAGTAACCTACACGTGTGCTAAATAAGTTTTCTGTCTGGTCATTCGATCGATTAGATGCTTATGTTAAAAAAAGTATTCAGCTCTTGATTCTTACACACTGCAATTAAAATTTTATGCAAATTAGTTGGTATCCCAATATTTTTAATTAAGTGATGAAAATTTTTATTCACCCACGCCAACTTATTAATTAAGTTATCCTACTTGTTATGCATCATCACAGACGAAGGAAAAGAACAGAATGGCAGTCAACTCTCTACCCCAACTTCATCGATCTTGAAAAGGCGTTCAACAGCCTCAATCGAGAAGTAATTTGGCAGGCACCTGCTTCGACACTACGGAGTGCCACTGACCTTTATCAACCTCATTCAGCAGTTATATAATGACGACGCTATATGCCAAGTGATAGACAATGGAAAGCTCAGTGATGCTTTTAAAGTGAAGACAGAAGTAAGACAAGACAAGGTTACCTACCATCACCGATGATCTTCCTGTTTGTGATGGACTGGATCATGCAACAAACAGTGAGGAGTAAGAAGAGGGGTATAAGCTGTTTGACCGATGAGAAGATCCTAGAAGATTTGAATTTTGTCGGTGGTGATTTATGTCTGATGTCGCACAAACTCGAAGATCTAGAGGGAAAAACTAAAAAAATGGGAGAAGAGGCGAGACAGTGAAGACGGGACGTCAGGTGAACGCAGAGAAGATAGAGGTGATGAAGATACTCAACCAATAACAACGACAGCAACAACAAGCACCAATCACCATCAACGGAAGGCACGGCAGCGTCGTTTCAACCACAGGTGGCACAGACGAGGATGTGGAAGCCAGGGTTGGAAAGACAGCGATACAGGCCTTCATTAATCTAAAACCATTGTGGAGATCAACTGCACTCAGCATAAAAAACAAGATCTGGATTTTCAACACTAATATCAACTCAGTGCTTATATATGGTTTAGAGACTTGGCACACTACGAAAACCATTTCCAACAAACTACAGACATTCATCAACAGCTGCCGCCTAAGAACACTCGGTCGTGAAGATCAGATGACCAGAATGTTGAAAATAAGCCACAAGGAACTCTGGCTGGCTGGCAACGAACCACCGAAGCAGGAACCTATCGCCTGAGAAATATGCAGAAGGAAGTGGAGATGGATTGGGCATGCACTGAGAAGACCGTTCGGGGACATCATGCGTCTTGCCAAACCAAGTGGTCGAGTAGAATACAGATGGAAAACGATGAGTTGGGCGTCCCAAGAGAGAGTGACATGGAGGAGATCGTGTGAGGAAGAAAAGAGTGCTTGTGGGCAGTCCTGGAGCCAGGTTCAAAGGATTGCAGAGAACAGAGAGGAATTGAGACGTGCGACTGAAGCCTTATATTCCACTAGGAATCCAAGGGATAAATAATAATAGTAATATAACATTCGTTATGCCATGAAAAACATATAATAGGATAAAGATGCTAGAATATTATAGAATTGGTTACTAGGGCAATGCCTTTTGGCTAAACTGCCTACTACTACTGATGCAAGCTCACTGTAACATTAATATTAACAGCCTATCAAAATGACTGAAAAGTTTGGTATGCTTTCAGTGTGGTCGTTCTTCATTTTTATAGCATTTAACATCCCATAAACAAATTTACAATCAGAAGGTATGCTGATAACAAACATGTAGGTATATATGAGGTAATTATTGCCCAGAAATACATGATGCATTATAACTTTTAATTAGATGTTTCAAACTTGAGAAGTCCAAAATTAGGATTTCATTTTAATGACTGTAACACACACACTTGATGTCTAAAATTAGGACATCGAATAAACAATATTGTTTCAGTTACATTCAATTTTATTCCCAATATTTTCTTCGCTCAAATCATCAATAGACAAAAAGTGAATTTCGGCTATTAACAGTATGTACCGTTTGTTTTGTGCAGTGGTAGAATTTTTCCAGTAGAAATGCAGAATTCTTGACTTATTTCTCATGGACATTTAGGATTATCATCCTCTTACAGGAAGTTATGATGACCGTTGAGCAGAAATAAACCACAAACATACATTCACATACCTGATGATTACTACGCAGAAGTGCTTGTAATCTTATTACTGGTATTTAACTACCAGAACTTGGCACACTATTCATTTAGTTTCCTCCCCTCTTCCAAAAGTAAAAAGACTTAGGTTGGATGATTTGAGTTAAGCCATTACTTTGAATTTCATTTTTCAAGGTGGTCATCATATTTTTCAAACTATTTGTGAAGAAATATAAAAATCAATATACCCCACTAAATGATGGATGAAACAGTAAATGAAGATCATTTGTTTACCAAAGGTCAAATAATCATTATCAAGCGATGAACTTTATTCAAGTGCAGTGAAAATCTTGTAAATACCATGACAAAATGAAGAATAAAAATGTGAAGTGTTACGTCACGGTCAAAAATGAATACTTATGAAATGAACAAATAAGGGGTATAAAAATAGTAACATGAATATTTTTCAATGTAAGGGCGATATAGGAGGAAGGGATGGAAGGTTAAACTGTGAAATTTATGGTAGGAAAGTTCATAAAGAACGTATCGACCCTACTGTGGGCCAAGGTAGACAAAATGAATTTTCATATTTTTTCTGAGCACATAGATCAGGTTTTACTATTTTGATGCCTGTGGATTTAGCTATGGATAAAATGCGTAGCCTTGCACCTTTGAGGACACAAAATATCACAAAAAGAAGACATGATCTACTTTGGTCCAATGTTCGGCATCTACTAGATGTGAGAGAATTGCACCGCTGCTACTCTTCGCATTCCTTTCTCTAACCGACCTGGTACGTATTCACGAGTGCTCATGGATAAAGTTATCTGAATATAGCCTATGTAACTATCTCCTAAGGGCCTGTTGAACTCATAGATGCGCATTGAAGTGGCGATCACTGGTAACCTATCCTTCGTTCGTTGTAATAATTTTGTATCATGCCTTATTTTGGATATTCCATTTCACATTTTCGCATGGATATATATAACTGTATAGCCTGAAGAAGTTATTGCAACCAAGTGTTCGTTCAAATTATTCTTGTTTTGAATAATCTATGGGGATCATCAAAATAAATAAACGTTCAGATGCTTTTAAATTTAATACCTGAATAGTTGGTTCAAACGTTTTCATAACTTCTTTAATCCACTTCAAATTTTAGCTCTTCAGTGGCTTCAAATAGACGTTGGACCACCTACTTTGATAACTGGAGTTATTATAAAGTCAAGAGGAGATGTGAAAAACTCCCAGTATGTAACACGTTTCAAACTGTCTTACAGCAATGATACACGTTTATGGTACTTTTACAAAGATGCAGCTCCTTTGGACCCAAGGGTAGGTTTAAACTTGTTAAGTGCTCTCTATAATCCAGACTGTCATAATGTGAGTTTTGTGAGTCAGAATATTGGAATTATCATCCAATATTATGATAAATATTCGTTGATCGTGAAATAGACACACATTAAGGACAAATGTATCACAGTTTACCGTAGAATTTTATTGCTTTATCAGCCAATTTTGTCATAAAGTTGTTTCATCTAAGTTACCATCAAGATTTTAGTGGAATGCTGATCGGGAATCCAAGTTCCTGCCGATGTTCTTTAGCTCTCACTTTTCAATATAACTAACCAAGTCGTTTTGAATAAGTGGGTAGTATCTTTGGCAGTGACACTTGGAAAACCACTGTGTGGTAAATAAACGCTAGCATACTGGATTTGTGACACATAAGAGATTTCATGAGATCACTTTCCTACATTTCCACTCTAAATCTTCTTAGCCACAGTATTATTGACTAAGTAAACGAAATTATACTTTTGACTTATGAATAAATAGATGATTACGTCCTTAACAAAACAATTGATAAAGGTAAATCTCTTTAGTAATGCATCAATTGGACACCCATTTTTCAAATATTATTTCCATCCAGCAAAATGTTTTCTACAGCTTTCATAAAAAAACCCAAGTAGTCCTTCTGCAACATGAATAACCAACGCAAAATTAAACGCGTAGTAACTAATTCATATTCCAGTTTTTTGGTAAATATTTTAAAGTCATATTCCTCACAATAATAGAAATTATTCGCCGCAGCAGTAGACTAGTTCAAAGTCGGTATAGATAAAGGGATATCTTAAGAACTTCGGTATAACTTGAAAACTTCAGAAATGCAAAGGAAACTCTTAAGAAAGAAGAGTCTATCATATGATTGGAGCCAAAGTCATCTAAAATCGAAAAAACTAAACAGAATTCCTGAAAAGTATAAAAATTTTATATTGCAGTAAGTTTGATAAAGTCGATTATATATATATATATATATATATATATATATATATATATATATATATATATATATATATATATGTTTAAGCCCTTCGTTAAGACCGAGTTTAAAAACCCATGGCTTTCTAAACAGCTTCCTTTTCATAGCATAAGGTTAAATGAAATTATGTTCATCATGAGATATACTACGTCTTTACATTAAGTAATGCACATGTATCTGTATTTTATTCTCCAATCCGCATCGATTACTGTTGTAACTAAGTATTGTTGGAGAAGCATTCCTACGAATTTAATAAAATAAAGATATTATAAAATTTAGTTCATTTTTTTATGAGGCTTAACACTGAATGTATAATGTGAGTGGGATGTTATGACAGCAACCAAAAGGTATGTTTTACCATGCGATATACGTATAATTAAAACAGTGTTGGCTTCTAAATTTCGATCCAACCGTATTCAATTATGAATTTAGAACACTTTGTCAACTGAAATCTAACAGTCTTGGCACTATGTGATTAGAATCAGTTCAAGATGCAACCATGCATGAAACTATTCAGCATCAGGTTGAAACAAGAAGACCGTATGCAAAACAGTTACCTGATTACTCTTATATTTATACAACTAGTATTTTTCAGCAAAGGTAAAGATTGAATTGCTAAATTAACTTTTTTCGGGTACCCATTGCCAATATCGACATTTCTAAACTTTGATGTTCATAAGAAACAAATCGAAATACCACAGTTGATGTTGCTTTTGTATAAGTATAGAAAACTAATGTTGCAGATTTTTTTTCTACGAGAATAAAGTATTAAAAGTCTTATTTCTTCTCACTACTTCTTAAACTAATATAGTATCTTGTTTTTTCCCCACTGTTTTGTTTTCTTGCATGAATTCCAATATCACAACTACCACTGACATATCCTAATAAAACCATAACAAATTTTGTTGAAATTTTATTTCTGCCTCTTCTAATCATAAATTTTGATTTGGTTTTTATTTTCGTGAATTTATTTGTTAATTTTTGTTTCGGCCATTGAATGTTTGACGAAATCTTGTTTTTATTTTCAAGTCCACAGTTTGGTCATTTGAATGGAGTCAAAAAATAAAGAATCAGATGATAAAAGAAAACCTGATAAAGTATATAGCTCCCGTTTAAATTAGCTACAACTCGTGTTTGTTACAGAAGTGGTTTTTCAACAATTATTTCAGTTAATTTCAACTCACAATTTATTTTATTTCTGTCATAATGCATGTATGGTTAAAATGTCATTACATTTTGAAGGCATATTAATGTCTACCGTGTGTGTACATAAATGAATGGATGCGACTACTTTGAATGCAAAGACTAGGAAACTGGCCATAATATTAGCCGTCTAAGTAAAATCTAGTAAATTTACACAATATCCGATAAAAAAAACACAGTTTTTTGTTCCCTAAGGCGAAGGTTATCTTTTCCACATAGGCCAATCGGGTTTCATTTTGAGTTTTATCAAAAAGTGTTATTAAGTCTGTCAGCTGTCATCATGATGTTATATAGTCAAAAATACTCAAAACCTATTTTAAGCCGTTTGTAAAACACAAAGGTATCGACAATGACCGTTTTACTTGCCAGGAAACAGACTAAAAACTGCATTTTGTAGCTAAAGTTCTTGACAATCCTCATTTTTCTACAAGACTGGTTTAAAACTCTGAAAGAGGAGAATAATGAATTATAACCGTTTTCCGTAGCATAATTCTCATTTATTGGTCATTTGAGCTCCAGGAATTCATTATCTCTGTCAGCAAATATAGATACACTGGTGGTAGTTTAAGGTAAAATTCCGGTCTGAACTGTGGCAGGATACAAACCAGCGACCACCTGATTTCTTGCCCAGTTTTCTATCAAATGAGCTACTGATCAGATTTTAACTTCACTCCAATCACCAAGGGTCCTACCCGACAGTCATGTGGATCTATGACGCATTACTATTGCATGATCATACTCATGCCGGCTGCCCAGTCAGGATTTCTCATACTGATTCAAATCTATTAGAATTAGAAAGAAAATCAATTAGGTAGATTATCAATTTGACTATCGGCAATGGCCATGACTAGGCAAACGTGTATTGATACTAAGTGTTTACTGAAGGTGAAATGAAAATCTGGTCTCTGGTTTGAATCCTGCCGTGGCCCAGATTTTCATTTCACATTCACTCATCACCAAGTATAAGTCTGCAAAACTACGCCTATCCAAGATTGTCAAACTGATGGATAAATTGTGACAAGAGGGTTGTTGGCAGTCCTAACTAATCATTGGTTGTTCTAATAAAGGTATTGACGGTTATAAGTGAAAACAAAGTGTAGTTACTTTGTGAAACCTCGGTAATTTTGGCTAATTTGAATCTAATGGTTATCAAGAAGACTCGAGATAGGTTCACTCATTTGAATTTATTTGAGGTATAAACTTTGGGAAATTATAACAAGTAATTTTCATTTCAGCAGGCAATTGCCTTACAAACTTGCAACTGATCGGATAAAATTAATGAGTCATTTACATCATTAAATAATAACAAAGTATATTACTCTAGCTACCATAGACTAGATACTTCATTCTATCAGCAATTTTCAACTGAACGACTAGTTGATCAATAGATCAGAGATTCAAAAAAAATGATGAGCAACAGTGAAAAACATTGAAACCTAATTTTATTTCAGAACAATTCAGAATTTATTATTATTTGTCCCATTGCTTCTTAGTGGGACATAGGGCTCCAGTAGTACGTTGCCATTGCACTCCGTTCTCTGCAGTGCTTTGAACCTAGCTCCGCGTCTGCCCAAAGGCTTTCATTTTTTCCTCAAACGGTCTGTTCCATCTCACCTTTGCCTCAGATGCCCAACTCCTCGTTTTCCACTTGGGTTCCACTCAATGGCCTAGTCTGACGCGTGTCCCCAATCGGTCTTCTCAGTGTATTCCCAAACCAATCCATCTACACTTCTGCATGTTTGTTGGGCAATGGCTTCTTGGTTGGTTCGTTGCTCGGCCAGAGTTCCTTGTGGCTTATTCTCAACATTCTGGCTATCCGATCCTCATTATCGGGTGAGCGTAGGAGGTAGCTGTTGGTGAATGTCTGTAGTTTATTGGAAATGGTTTTCGTAGTGTGCCAAGTCTCTAAACCATATATAAGCACTGAGTTGATGTTAGTGTTGAAGATCCGAATCTTGTTCATGCTTTGTGCTGAGTGCAATGCAGTACAATGGATCTCCACACTGGTTTCAGACTAATGAGGCCTGTATGGCTCTTCCTACCCTGACTTCCGCATCCTTATCTGTGCCGCCGCCTGTAGTTGAAACGACGCTGCCGTGCCTATGTAAATTGAAGGGACTACCTCATTTAAGCTACTTCCGTTGATGGTGATTGGTGCCCGTTGTTGCTGTTGTTGGTTAAGTATCTTCATGACCTCTCCCATTTTCTCCTGATAGCTAATGTGAAGATGCCCTTTAGTGTTTCGTCCTTCAGTTCAGTTTCTGTTTTCGGTGTTGAACTTCAACTGTGGTCTATCAACACTAGCTTCTTTGAAGGCTTTCAACTTGATTTTGAAGGTACATTCCTTACACTAGATAGTGAGTGAACGTACATGTGCTCCCCTTCTTGATCTTGTGTCAAGCAGGTTGCATCTCCACTTTCTCCGCATTGAGATGAAGTCGATCTGATTTTTAGTGTAGTGTGTCCATCCGGTGAATGGTGAAATCCATGTCGCTGCCTTGTGAATATCCTTGTGTTTGTACACGCTGCCTTCAATCACCGAATCGTTGAATGCGCAGAAGTCTGCAAATAATTCTCCATTCTCATTCGTCATTTCACCCAGCGCTTCTTGACCGATGATTGGTTCTCTTCCTGTGTTGTCGGCTCTCAGTTTTACATTCATGTTGATCTACCCCATTCCACCCATTAGAATTTTGATGCCGCCATCTGGGATGGTTGGAGTCTTGTCCAATGCTGATTCCAGTCGTCTGTAGGATTCCTCCTTCTCCCCTTCATCTGAATTATTTGAAAGTGTAGAGCCTAGCTTAGCGTAGCATTCTATGATTGTGACTTTCCTTCTTTCCTTTTGAGTTGAATCCATCCTGCTGTCATGATCCTGATCCTGCAGGAGGAGATTGATTCCCATTGCATGAGAGAGAGCCTTCGATGCTCTTGGGGACATCATAATAGCCACTCCACAACTCAGTGTGCTCGTGGTTGTCGTCTGCTTGACAATATCGGAGTAGATTATTGACTCTCCAGTTAACAGTTTCGAGAATCCTCTTCCATTCCATCTGCAGATTCCCCACAGATTCCTAACACGCAGATTCCACACCTCATCTATTTTCCAGTCTGGCCAGCCTTCCTAGGTTTATACATGGTGAGGACATTTCATTCTCTCTGATTCCAGCAAGGAATTAGTTTATATTTACTTCATGTATTTTCTTTGCGCTTAGAAGTTTATTTAGCAATTAAATTGGTTTTACGGGATAGGGTGGCTAGCCCTATGCCCAACCTTCCCTCTTTATCCGAACTTAGGACCGGCTAGTAACCAGCGAACTAGTTAACCATTAAATATAAATGAGGCCACGAAAAACCAATTTAAGATGAGTATAAGAACATCTATATGTACCATGACGAAGAAAAACTATTACTGTCATACGTAAATTTCACAGTGTAGGGAATTCTACTGTAAAGCTGCCAAAGGATAAGCTAAATAAGGTTTGTTATCTCGTATTCAATATATTAGGCATCTTTTGTGAGTACTGCCTGTCATGATAAAGTACGTGACCACTGCCTTTTGATGTGTGAAGTGAGTTTAGCCAGCTTGTTGTTAGCCTTCTTTTTCAGACTTACGCTTGACATTTACTGGATTTGTTGACAATTTAACATAAAGTTGAGTCCGCTGTTAAATATCAGTGGCAAACTCTCATCTTAGTAATGGCCACCGCGGCTTCAATGGCCTAGTTATTAGCGCTTTGGCGTTCAAAAGGATGGGTAGTGGATTAGAGTATTCGCGGGAACAACACCATTCACTGGGGTCCAGGTACATCCAGCTGACCGGTCTCGAACAGGATGAGACGCGCGACATCACTTCCACTGCTAGTCACCAAGATGAATATAAAATCGTAAAAATTCAGCAGTATCGAGGTATCCCATTAGGACCCCATCCACTAATTATACTGACCCTGGCCGGTTATTCTGACCTATGTACTTGACCTTGCAGTCATTTCATGCAAAAGATTATTTTACATCATTGGCTCTATCGGATCGTTTAGCTCATTGAGTGAGTAGGTTAAAATGCCACCCTAATTTTAGCCTTGTTGAGTTTCTGATGTTCGTTCTTTATAGGGTAGCACTATGGAGGCTTTGAACTCCTTCCTACTCTTGTCGAGCTCTTATTCGTACTCGTATTACTCTTATTACTTCGTTCCTTATGTGTTCGTGTGAACAAGCTAGTCAGAACCGATTAAATAAGTGTAATATGGGAATTTAGCTAAATATAGAACGACAGACTTCAATTATGTCAGTTATCAAGAAAATAAGTCGGCTACTGCAGTGTATGCACTAGCACAACCACTTAATTGGGTGGGATAAAGCCATCGAGCTTAAGCCAAATATAGTTAGGTGGAATGAGAGATCTAATACTGAATCTTCGTTCATCTATTCTACACCCAACACATGTAAGAGGAATGACGCAACATATAAACCGGAGATATGAAAAATCTTACTACCATTAAAAATAAAGAATATGTGATAGGATTAGATAACTCAGATGTCGAAAGGAGTTTGATTACACTGAAATGATTATGAGCAATAATTTTTGCTCAAAACCTCATCAAATAAATTATACGGTCTTACTGTGTCTTATAAATCAAATAGACAAATCTAATATGGAATTAATTTCTACCACATTGCCCACATTTTACACTGATAATAATATTGAGGTATGTCTATAATAAATAGACCAAGGTGCTTGTAATGCCAACATCCGTTTTTCTGAACGCAACTCGGGTTGTTTAATCCTGTCTGCTACTATTTCTTCATTTACAAGGATTCAGGGCCTGGTGTCTGTGAATATGATTCTTTTTCACCTGATGATGTTACAAACGAAGTATAATCATCTATATAATTAATTATTCTGAACTGAATTCCGGTTATATTTGATCCTGAATTCAAATTCCATGCAAGTCATTTCTGAATAGAATTCCTAGACTACATAATGTCACTAACGGAATGTTATAAGAAATCTCATTGCTGTTAACGCAAAATTGAACAATATAGACGTATAGCTGTAGGACCTGTGGAAGAAGTTATTGGGAAGAATAATTTTTTCAACTAAAAAACATTCCACTGTATTTCAAAAATGCTTCAGTAGAGGAATTAAACAAGACCACTTTCGGCTTAAAGAAAATGATCTGCAATCAACATAAATTTTTAATTTACTAGGCAGCTGTTTTTGCGGAATTGGGTGAAATGTCAAGCTTTTAAAAACAGTTGAAAGCATTAAGAAAGGAGTCGACACACTGACTACTCTTCACTACGCACAATCAAGTTAGTTTCTGCTCATCAAAACTCCTTCTAGCAACATCACAGAATCTGTTAAGTGCGTTGATTTGTGAAACAGTCATAAAAATAACACCAGTATTAATCTAGAAATGGCTTCTTTAAAACGTATCCTGTCAGAAAAGTTATAATCCACCAAGCAATGACGGTGATCAAATTTAAAACTTTCGGCGTATATTTTGTTTGTATTAAAACACAGAGTCATCATTAGGCAAATTCATGATTTTTAAATGGATAACGTACATAAAATCCTCAGTAATACTGGCATGTATAATTTGCAATATATAGTAGAATTTGAGGAGTATTTCTGTTAAGAGGTATTTCATTGCATCAGATGTATTTTTATTTCGATTTCCTTTTTACTGTTGTGTCTGATTTTAGTTGTTCGCTAAATGTTTAGTTCATTTTAGTTTGTTTATGAAAACCTTGCATGTACCTTTGCATTCGCTGCGAACACTACATAATTTAATATAACATCTTTGCTTCTTTGCACACTTGTCGACGAAATATTAACCGGATCAAATTCTCATCGAAATGAAAACATTTTTTGCTAAAGGTGTTCGATGGTAATAATGACCAGGTATCTGAACGTGTACATTACTTGGCTACACCATTTATTGCTCGTTATGTACGTATTCATCCAGTTATCTGGAGAAGCCGCATTGCAATGCGTGTCGGTTTGATAGGCTGTAAGCAGAAAGGTTCGTGTGGTCCTGGCTTCTTCCGAATCAATAATGAAAGTTCTTGTGGTAAGTCATAATTATAAAATGAATACACTATTTAAGTGAAGACTGGGATTTCTATTTTCTACCCTAGTATGTGTGATAGGGCAGTAATTGTAGGCGAACGTTCCTGGCCCAATATCTTGGCAACTACTAACTAAAGCCTGTACTTCAGTTCATCACCTAATCTACTTGACTCCTTGTCATCTAAGGAAGACCGTCACAAACCTCTTATGAATAAGTATATTAAACGACTAAGTTACATCCAGCTGATGCATGCATATACTTTAAGACAATAAGCACTCTAGACCACTATTATAATAAACAATTTCATATATATATGTACTCAGGATAAAATAGGCAGTTTGTGGATTTTGTTCAACGTTTACACGTTTCCTGTTTTTGTGTCCAGTAGTTTACAACCAACTCATAGAACATATGCTGACAAAATTACTTGTAAAACTCTACCACATATGAACATTAAAATGACATCTTACTTACATGTTTAATGAAGTGGTCGAAAGACTTCCTCTTTCTCATTCTCTTATAACATGTGCATGTGCCTAGTACTGAATCCATCTGTGCATATCCTTTTCTCCAGTTGATTGAAAATGAATTTTCGTATATTTGCATTCCACATTACAAAAGGACAAAGACTTCCATCACGGTTTACGGTTATAATATGTGTGGATGATTTTTACGCACTTCCTAAATTTGTTATTTTTACACTAACCAAAGATTACACATTTAAAAAAGTAACATGAGTGATTCAAGTAAATTTAATGGAAAATGAAGTAACATATCCGTTGAAAAGCCAGAATTATGTGTAAAATAACCGCTTTAGTTTTCTTTTAATGAAATGGAAAATAGGATACATCTACAAATGACCGTTTGTTGAATTGGATTTTGTACTTTGTTTTACTGTTTCCGTCCATTATCTGTTGTTGACAACGTAAAGGTAACGAATGAAAAGGAATGTTTAAATATCAAATATTTTTTTCTTGATTTTTTAATTTTCAAAAGGAAAGCCGTTGACCATGCTACAATCATGGGTTAATAAAGCAGACAGTTTCATTTGATTATAAAGTGGTTTTTCCTGCACGTCAAACAACCAGTTCGCATTTGTGGGATAAGTTTCGAAAATACGATTGCATGTTGGATTTCATCACGACTGAGCACAAAATCAGTCAGGTATTTGTAAAAACCAGAGTGATATTTGGGGATGTAATACATTACGCAGGAAGCCTTGTATAGAAAACCAGTAAAGCGGAATGATTTCATATTACCTTTGTTTCGACATTTAACTCCCTTTTTAAGATGTTTTGAGAAACTGAGTAAACGTTATGTTTAAATGCATAGTTTTGAAAAAAGACTTGATTGACAGTGACTTGGAACATTATAACTCTTAACTTTCCAAATTATACATGAATTAATAAATTTATCTGTTATATATTTCCCATAAATTATTCAACTCTTTTTTAGTTGCCAACCTCGCTTACAAGAAAAATGCCTGGTTGACTCCTGAGTCTTCAAATCACCGCAAAAGAAATCTACCAGATTCGGATAAATCGTCACATTCACTTGGTTTCAGTGATGAAATAAGGAGTTCACTGAACTCAGAGAATCCATCACATTTCCAATTCACTGAAAATCAACGCCCACCTATGTTAGCACATCACAGGATCAGAGATAATACCGTTAATTCAAATACATTTAAATTCAGCAGCATACCCTTATGGTCATCAGTTGACAGTATGATGAGTGAACCATTCATGGGTGATAACAGTGATGGTATGGCATCTTTAGCTGTTGATGGATGGACCGGCGAGGAAATACTACTAAAGAATTCAACGCTTTCGACAAGATCATCGGAAAGATTAATGAATGATGCACCGGATGGTAAGCAACGATCAAATGATAGTTTAAACAAAAGAAACATAAATGATGCACTTCGTATAACTGCGAACCTCCAAAAATCTGCTCATCCATGCACAATACTTGAATATCGCTGGCCATTCGTCGAATTACCTTCGTGGTATGTAGACCTCAGAGAACATACTGAAGTAAATGGTGTTGTGATTTACACAGCAGGTCATGGACGAGGTGAGTGATACGTTTCATTAAATATAGACTGAAAATCTACAAGCTGCAGCCACAAATTTATAAAATGACCATTTTGATTACTGTGATTCCTTTTAGTCATATTATTTATATTTAAAAATAGTCAAATTAAAACAGTTGACAACTGATATTCGTTATACATGTCTGAAAATCACTGAGAGAGTTTATGGAATTAAATTCGATTGAATCACTGTTTTACCTTGATGGCTTTATTCATCCTGTAATAGGTAGGCATATTTGGGATCCCTTACTTTAGTATACGCCGAAGAGAATGTCTAAAATGATAGAGACTTATTTAAATGTTTTATTTTATTGCTTTTTTTATAAGCTGGTATTCTGTTAGCTTGAAACAACCACGAAGTGTTAAATCTTAACGTCAGGTAGTCAAACAAAATTTATCATAATTCTTTTAAAGGTCATTGCACACTGTTCAGAACGTTTTTAGGTGAACGTGCAAAGTGAATCAGATTATAGTCTCTTTGACCTTTACAAGACATGTTTTAACAATAAGCAGACATGTTTAAGCTTGCATAACTGTAGAAAGTTTCATTTGTATCATTGTTTCTTCTCCGCTCATGAATATCATACTAATCTATTGGAGTAATGTTTATGTAAAGCCTTAATAGCACGTTCATACAACAGACACTTCCCTCCCATTGTCATCTATGTTCTCATGATATATAAGCGTTTCTATTTTTGAGGTTTACTGTATAATCCATTCCGCACGCTCAATTGCATTAACAGTATATGCTAAGAAAATACCTGGAATTAGTGTTCAACCAAAACGCTTGAATAGTTATTCAACATCCCACCAAATTTGGGTACTATGTAATAAACAAGTTTTTCTACCATCAAAAATAATATGGTAGTGAATGTATTGTGACACTAAGCTATGTGACAAGCAAACTGGAAGCATTATGAATGTCATTATAAATATTCACTTTCAATATTTTTTTATTTGGTTTATGACTTGATGTGCGAATCTCCCATACTGAAGTCATATGCCATTTTTTGTAATTACCTGTCGTTGATCGGTCTTCATCGGTAGATGGGCTCCTCTACGGAAAGCTCGATGCTGCCCATAATTTCAGTTTAATGGCAGTGATGTAAAGTGGTTATCAGTGGAATCCGTGGTCCACGTCTCGCCTTATTTTGGACTCGTTAGCTGAATAAGCACACCTTTCTTTGAGTCAAGACTGGAATGTAAAACAGAACGTTTCAGACTCAGCAGCGCTATCCTGTGGGTCAGCGATTTGCCACACCCACTCTTTATGGGATGGGTATAGATTTTGTATCATTGCTTGTAGTTCCTCATCAGTAACTAAACCGAGTTGACTGGCCTTTGTCAGTTTATGAGGATCTGTGCTATTGTCTCGATACTCATCATCACTATCAAATTGTAACACAATTATTGAAAATTGGAATCAGTAAATCATTAATGAGACTTGAGAAAATGCACTCTGTAATTCTAAACACAGTTTCCATTTTATTTCTGAACTTACAACTACTCAAAACTCGTATTTCTACACTTCTTAGATGTGAATAATAAGTTATTTATGTTGTCAGTATAATAATATTTAAATGCAAATCGCTACACAGCAAGTTTCAATACTGGTAAGATTGTTAGTTAAAATTCAGGGGAGGTTTTAATGATAACGCTACTCAATGAAATTCGATCTAATTTCGATTTACAACAAAAACTTGTTTATAAACCCATTTAATGAAGTCAACATTTTCATTACAGATGGAAGATACCTACTATCATCTTTATTTGGTGGTGAAGATAAAACGAAGCTGAGCTCAGAAAATTTGGAAAGATTGTCAATTTACGTTGAATCAGAACCACGTCATCGAGACTCTAAAACGTTGTCCAGGTCAAGTTCTAGTCTTTGCGGTTTCGTCACTAGACTAAATGACGCTATATTCAGTCCACGTTTACATATACCCTGCAGACAACCATTACTTGGACGTTATGTTTATGTTGAGGCACGTGGAGTACGTGGAAGGTGGTCACAAGAATTCGCAGCTTTATTGTGTGAGGTTATGGTATATTAAAGATATTTTGTTTCCCTGTTTCAAATGAAAAAACAGACATTTTAATATCCTATACTTATATGCATTTACCTGATAACCATAAGCGCGAAAATCATATTTTTTTTCAATTAACGATTTGCAATATGCACGAATTCATATAACAAAATCTGAAATGCATATTTTGGTTTCTTTAATATTACTTGTCATCAAATTCTCGTACAGTCTATCTCTCTTTATCTTTCTTAATAATTTCATATGCGGTAAAGTCTTAGTTACCTATATTTTAAATATATATATATTCATCGTATACATGTATAAATGTGACAGTATAATTATCGAACCGCATATTTCTAAAGTTTCTCTACTGCAGACACTTTTTAATAGCAGAACTTTAGGTTTCTTCGAGGTTCATTTGCAGTCAGAACTAAAAATCACGGTGGAGTAAGCTAAATGCAACAGTTGCTTCACATGTAATAATTAACATTCATTCAACTATCCTCATACATTTTAGTGGTATACACATGCATTTATTCTAAAGAGATCTTGACGATGTGTAATCTAATTCACTTCTCATCTTTATTCATATACCAGTATATACATCAACTTCTGAATAAACTCCGATTATTCTCTAATATTTGAACCCTTTTAAAATTCGAATCTGATAAAATCAAACCTTGTACTGTTTATGAGGCTGTTTTTGTTTCACTTTTCATGTAACTGACTATAGGAGTTGCATGAATTTGTTGCAGCTTATTACTTTGCTTATTTCAAACAACCATTTTAATTTCGTTTAATCTATAAAAAAAATGGCTTAAGTTTTCATTCAGTCTTCTACTTGGAGGTGAACAGATGCTTCTTATACCCATAGGTCATTTGGTCAGTATTTTACACCACTCTTCTTATTTGGCAGAATACTTAAGTATCGATTATAAGATCTTCCTAAATTTTTGTTTTCTTGACAAACTAGTAAATAAGGTACTCTATTTTGCATCATCTGACTAAATCATGAAAATTCCGGCAACAAATTTCAATTATATAAAAGCACAATACTTACTGAATGTGATGAAATTAAAATGCCAGATAAGTATGTGGAGTGCTGTGGAGTCATCATGCGTCTGAGAACTAATAGTCATACAAAAGATTGATAAGTGCTTCAGGAGGTGACATGGCTTCTGACTTATAATGATAATACATAAAAAACTAGATACCATATACAATGGATAAAATTATATTTCATTACTAAAACCATGAAATGTATACCATGAAAATAATTTTAAATGAGCATGCGTAACTCGTAAGCTTGTTGATCACTACTGGGATCAGTTGATAAAAAATCTCAACTGCGCTTAAACCGATGGCATACTAAATAAAATAAAATGTTACATACAGTATCATTGTTAACATATTCCAAAGCAAAACAGTTTTAATTTCTAAATAACTAATGTTTATTTATTGGCATAGATGAACCCAACCCTAACCCAGATGTAAAGTGGAATAAAATTGAAGTGACTGACTAAAATAAAAAGTAGATAATAACGATACTGAACGCAGTGATGCACTAGAACTGAATGCCAATATAAGTATTCTCCTTCATCACCATATTCTTCACTGATTCACGCAAATATCACAAGGCAAATGGCGATCTGTGACTGCACGAACAACTTTATTTCATATATATACAATTCCCATACATAAAAATTTCCTAAGTCAGATATAGAATAACACAATCTTATTGGCTCCATCATATTCGGAACCTTAAAAAAGGTTATTTTGTCCACATGTTAACATAAACCACTATCTGAAAGAAAAACACCTCTACCCCAGTGAGCGATGACTTAAAATGTTGATTTCCATTTCTGGCCGCTTCCTATCAGAAATTTAGAGATATTTCAAAATACCTATATGATATGTATGCCTATGACATTGTTTAGTTATTCTTCCGCGTTAATAATACTATCTTGTAAAAAGAATCCATTAAGTCTCCGCCATTCAAGATTTACTTCTGCTGCCTTGTCTTCAACAAATAAGCTTGAAGTGATCTGAATTTCAATCTTTTTGCATATATTACTAATATATATGTGGAAAGTTCACATATTGATGAAATGCAGGAAAAGCCGTAATTCAGTTCTCAATAAAAAACTTCCGGTACGTCTCATTAACAAAATCATAAGGGAATGCACTTCAGTTAATTCCTAATATTATATTCAAGGCAGTATTCATCACGGACTGACACCACATAGGGAAGGACTGAAAAACTCAGAGCACTGTACAGCTGTTCCCTCCCAGTATCGAACTCCTTAGAAGTGCGTATCCACATATAACTTCTGTGTTTCAGCACTACCTTTGATGGACAAAAAGTCGAAAACAGTTTTGCTCCTTAATATTTGTTCTATTCTGTAATTACTAGAAGTTTTTATCATTGACACTACAATATCTGATAGGTATTTCACGGGATTATAATGCTTGAGACCCCCATCAAATAACATAAGTCATTTACTGAACATCTAGTCCATATCCGTCAAAATATATCATGCTGTTTTCCTTGGCTGAAGCACCATTTCATATCCGTGGAAATTTTTGATGTGTTTGATGAGATTTTTCACTACTATATCACCAGTCAGTGGTTAGTTTGTGTTTTGAATATGATCAACGTGAGCTCACACATCTGTTGAATTTCTAGTCATACCAAAATATCAGCCGAAAATAAAATTCCATACCGAAACGTTAGCGCAATGCACTTAATATTTAGTGTGTATAAAATATTCTGTAGCTCATATTTCGGCCGGTGAAACTAAATTATCGGTAGCTACTTGTAAAACTAATCCTATATGGTACTGAAAAGTGTTAGTTGATTAAGATATTAAACCTATCAGACATTTAGACGAAGAATAAGAAACTAAAAAACTACAGTAGCATCAGAATTTCAACAACTAATGAATCATTAATCCAAAATTTTAGATGCATTCTCTTACTACCCTGTGGCTTGGCTATGGTACTTTCGTATCTATCAGATCCTACTACATCTGAAAATCATTGATGTGAACCACCAATAACCATCTAAAAACATTGAGCTATGGAATAAACCATTCAAACAAAAGCGTTAAAAAGAAGTTACTATAAAAGGAGCATACTGATTTACAAGTCTAAATCTAAGTTACTCTAAAACCGTCTAATTATTGACAAACTGGATTTTTTGTAGTTTACTTATACGTATCTTCATTCTTTATCATTATTTCTGTTCGTTAGTTCTAAATGTTTTTGTGACCACAGTTTTCCGCTTATTAAACATTCGTACCACTTCGTTTTATTTGATTACACTCGATTTCAGTCTGAAAATATGAACAGCTATGTTCAACACCTGCCTGAACTTCACTTCACTTTTCTTTTCAATTCATCAAACTTTTTAGTAGTTTTGTACTATCTGAACAAATAATATAAATAAGACGGAAGGAAACATTTTAACTCAGTGACGCATTTGTTGATACTTTTCACCGAAGCGTACCTAAAACCTCAAGGAAACACATGTTTATTAGGTGACTGAAACATACATTGCTAAATGATTCAGCAAAATATCTAGGCTTAACAGATCACTGTTGGTGTTTTGCAGAATAGGACTGCACAAATGAATACGTTACTCAATGACAACTAATGTAAATGTTGATTCCTATCAACTTAGTGCCAGTAGAAATTTGCTGAGATTTTATTTATTATTACCTCCTGATGACGAGAAATCACATATTTCAGCACCTCTAAAAGGTATTCATTTGAGGCAATGAGTAACAGCCGCTTTTTATTCACATTCACAATATTCGACTGCAGCAATAATGATCTACACGTAGAGTCATTGTAGGGTTTTAGTGGTTGATTAGAATACTACCTAATTTAGAAGTCTCGTATATAGGTAAGTTTTGAAATAATGAAAACGATAAAGAGAAACATCAGATTTATATGAAGTGATTGCATATCCATGTGGTCTTAACCTTTATACTAACCAACCACCAAATATTTTACGCAAAATTTCCCTCAGAATGTTTCTCAGTGAAACTAACTTGTGATTCAAAAATTTGGCCAACTTGAACTCTTTATCCAGTCTATATTACGTTCGTTTTGTTCTGTCAAATTTGTCCATTAGTGACTGCAAAATTGTGGAATTTATTTCCATCTTCATCCACCATAGTTCTCATATTTTATAACGACTACATAGAGTATGGGCGTTTTGTTCATAGTGTCACCCCTCGCGTCTATACACTTAAATAACCAAGCTTCTTACTATCGTATTCTAACCACCATGTGGTATCTTTTGAGACGAATTCAATATTTCTTACCAAATATCGAAAACTAGTTCGTCAGCATTTGCTACACTCAAACAGCTAATACACGACAAACTGCATGACATTAAACCTGAATAAGAACATATTCTAGAAATGGAAATCTTCAAATGGCCTAGTAGCTTATCTTCTCCTTCTTTACATGTTATCACAATGAGTGTTTTCGACTGTACGATATTTTCAGACTGTCGAAGAATAAACTCCAAAAATATCCTAGTTACTTACCTCATTCGCAATGCACACAACATGAAACTATCATTCAAATAGGTATAAATTTTTAGTTAGCCGAAGTCTAACGGCATCTAACAACGGATCCTAGATCATACAGACAGTGTTTCAAAGATAACTATCATTCCTTTTTAAGTTTCTCTAAATTCTATTTGGACTGCATAATGTAGCCTAAAATCATTGGTGATTCATTCAAAATATCTTCCGCAGTTCAGAGGTCACCCGTACTAACCCTTATTTATTCTCGGTCACTAACCACAAGAAAAGTATCTATTGTATCCACTTGAAGCAAGTCTTCGATACTGCATCAACAAACTCAGTGAATATCAGCTTGGACTAGTGAAAATTTAATGTCGTTTCTCCAGATCTCTTTGATTACTTGGTTTAACGAACTAATATACGGTAGGTAAACAAGAGATTTTAGGTAATGAAAGACTTGTCCGTTCCGAATTCAATCAGATCTCTCCTCATATTTATAAGAATGATCAGCTGTTACAGTTGATTTATACTGAAATAAAGCCACAACGTAAAGGCACTGACTTTCGTTCCTAAAGGCAAGTACAAAACGGTTGAAATAAACTTTATGGACAATAAACCGTAAAGGATACCATTCAGGTTGCAGTTGGTGAATATCAAGATCAGGGTCATCCGTTTGTGTTCGAAAACCATTTTCTCGAAGCTGTATCAGCTGCTAATTAGCCACGATGAGGAATACTTTATCAGTTATTCACAAAGAACTGGATTGCTTACAACGTTCAGTTGTGGATGTTGTGTGGTAATGACTTGTCTGCTTATCAGTGAGGGAAGATATGATTTCATCTTTCATTATCCCAGCTGTCACAGAAAAAAATCTTTGAGAATAGCATAGTTTTAACAAAACCTCATTTAAATTTCCAAGAAATAATGACTTAAGCATTTCATTGGAACGTTGGCACATCAATAAAATCCTCGGGAAAAGCAAAAGATGACAGTGAGGTGTTCTCACCACAGTGGTTCACCACTGCAGATAAATTTGATCCGAAAAAATCTGCAGACTACGTCCCAAGTGTGTAGCAGTACATAGTGTAGAGGAAATAGTTAAAAGACTCGTTAAGAAAGGTAAATATAGCCAAGGAAAGACGATAAGTTTGCTGGAGACGCACACTTGCATATTAGTATATCCAGCTGAGCCGAAATACCTTCTCACTTTCTTAACGATCCAAATGTTCCTGATCCACTTGTGTCAGACAACGTTAGGACAGAAGATGCGAGTGAATGTATTCAAAATACAAACTTATTCGAAAGTCACAACCAGTAAAGTATTATTCAAACACTATACAAACAAAAAATAAACACTGATTTAGAATCTTAACTTGAAATAAAGAAATGCAAACGGCACACAACGG